TCCCTTCTATTCCAATTTTGCTGAGAGTTTTTTTTTTTTTTAAATCAGAAAAGCACGTTGAATTTTATCAAATGCCTTTTCTGCATCAGTTGATATGACCATATGATTCTTTTCCTTTGTTTTGTCTATGTGATGGAGTACATTGACATTCTAATGAAGAAGAACATTTTTTAATATAAGGGGGAGAAAAAAGAACTGTTAAAGGACTTCTATATCCAGCAAATATGTCACCTTCATTTCTGAAGGAGACTAAGATATTCTTAGTTAAGGGAAACCAAGAAATTCATAGTCAACAGATCTGCTTAAAAAAGAATTGATAAAGGAATTCCTTCAAATAGAAGGTAAATAGTACAGATGGAAACTTGGAAAATTAGGAATAAAGGAAGGGCAGATAGAAATAGTTAATATCTAGCTAAGAGGACTGTTCTCTTAAATTCTTGAAAATATGTTTAACAATTGAAAACATAAAACCATTGTCTGCCGAAGTTTCCAACGTATGTAGGCGTAGTTTATGACAACTATAACATAAAGAGGAATGATAAAGGAACCTGTAAGGTAGTAAGTTCTCTATACTCCACTTGAAGTAGTAAAATACTGATTCTAAGTAGACTGTGAAAGGTCAGTATATATATTATAATCCCTCAAGCAACCACTAAAAAAATTATACAGAGTTATAGTGAAAAATACAATAAATAAAATACTAAAGGAGGAAACAGAGGAACAAAAATCAGAGGGAACAATCAGAAAATTAATACAGTGGTAGTAGACCTAAATCCAAACATAACAGCAGACACCCATCCAATCTTTCTAAAATACGGACGATCCTGAGTTCTGAAATGCATATGGCCTAAGATTATGGGCCTGTGTATCCATTTTTACTCTTTAATTTTGAAACTGGTAAATGTATTAACTATTCAGGAAATTAAATTTTAAAAGTTAAACTTTTCAAAACTATATTCAACACGCCCCTATTCATCCTAGCATTATTCACAATAGCAAAAAGATGGAGACACCCTAAGTGCCCACCAACAGATGAATAAATAAGCCAACTATGGTACATACTACACACAATGGAATACTAACACAACGTTAAAGAATAATGATAAATCCACAAAACATCTCCCAACAAGGGTAAACCTGGAGGACATTATGCTGAGTGAAATAAATCATAAAAGAACAAATACTGTATGAGACCCACTGTTACAAAAAGTCAAAGAAAAGGTTTACGCACAGAAAGACACATTCTTTGAGGGTTATCAGGGATGGGAGGGGGAGGGAGAGACAATCGCTAACTGGATAGAAGAAATGGATTAACTTGGGGAAAGGGAAAGAAAATACACACTAAGTGGGGGGCAGTCAGCACAGCATGACCAAGGCCAAGGAAGGCACTGGAAGGTACATAAGAGTTAAAGGCAACAATGGTAAATATCAAAATCCTCCATTAATAGTAATAGCAAACCATAATTTACAAATGAATGCACAGGTAGATATGTAAGCTGAACAGGTGTGGGCTGGTGTATGGGAGTACACCCACAAGCATATATAGGTTTGGCAAAGAATAGTTCTACATATGTATTTGCATGTGCTGCAGATATGTCTAGTATACAGTAGTGCATACAAGGGGCAAAGTTATGCAGACTTGAGGTTCCGAGTCACTGGGCTGGAGAGTTTGGGACCCTAGTCTTGGGAGACATCTAGGTCAGTTGGCATAACTTGGTTCATAAAGACAGTGTTCTACCTCCTACTTTGGTAAGTAGTAGCTAGGGTCTTCAGAAGCTGGCAAGTGGCAATGTAGGAAATAACTTTTGGTCTCTCCTGTCTGGAGCAGAGAAGAATGAAGAAAACCAGAGACTCAAGTAAACAGTTAACCCAAAGGAAACACACAAACCACAGCCTCCACTAGCCTGAGCCCGGAAGAACTAGATGGTGCCCAACTACTACTGCTGACCACTGTGATCTCGATCACAATAGAAGGTCCTGAACAGAGTGGAGAAAAATGTAGAACAAAATTCAAAATCATAAAAAAGACCAGACTTACTGGTCTAATAGAGACTGGTGAAAACCCCAAGACTCTGACCGTTAGACACCCTTCAAACCTGGAACTGAACCCACTCCCTTTGAGCCACGCATGCCTCTAAAATGAACAGAAACACCCGTGAGGACCGTACTCCTCAGAACAATCAACCATACGTGACCAAAGGGGCATCATTTGGTCAAAAACTAAGTTCAGAAGGCAGGAAGGGGCAGAAAAGATGGACAGATGGAAACAGGGAACCCAGGGAAGAAATGGGAAAAGCACTGTTACATTGAGGCAATTTCAACTAATGTCAGGAAACAAAACGCGTGTAAATTGTTGAATTAGAAGCTAACTTGCTCTGTAAACTTTTACCCAGCCACAATAAAATGTTTACAAAAATTTTTTTTTGCATTGCTCTTGACACCTAGCAAGCTCTCAGTGAATAGTGGTAGCTGCTGTTACTCTGTTCTTCCAGGCCTCTGCCATCAACAAAGCTGTTCACTCCCATACTACGTTTCCCCGCCATGCGGAGCCTGCAAGTGTTACCACTTAGATTTTACACCTTAGAAAAACTGAGGGACAAAGGTTTCATGACAGGTCCCTGCCAACCAGCTAGGTAATCCCCAAACCAGAGTCCAGAACACATCTGTGACTCCAGCCCTGAGATGTTGTCAGGTCACCAGACCACCATGGCCACCAGAAGGGCATCAGCTGGATTTGTGTGACTGAGACACAGCTGGCATTACATAAGGGGAGAGGGAAGCACATAGGAAGAAATTGTGTACTGTCAAGATCACCCTCGAATCCCTTAGAGGGGCCCCTATTGGAACTGGGACTACTTGTGCCCAGCAGGCCCAGCCTGACAGTTTTCCCTGCAGGGTTACCTTTAATTGGTAACCAGATGAAGCAGTAGGACTTGAGTTCAGAGGCCATATACAAAAAGTTGTTTGTTTGTTTGTTTGTTTTTAATCCCTGGAACCCTACTCAGCATATCCTGGTGCTCAGACCTGAGAGATGTGAGGGCCTGAGACTTGGCTGAGGGGGCTGTGGAGGAGAAGACAGGCCGCTGTGCTGTTTATTTTTGATGGGTTATAAGCGTGTTCCTAGTGAGCGCACAGAAGTGTTGCAGTGGGGCTGTGGTGAGGTACACTGCGCTCATTTCCGTATACACATTACTGAGGTGGGCCTTCCCCTCCCCACACTCTTTGGCCCAGCAGAGAAAAGTGGAAATGACTGCGTATTTCAGGAGCTGTCAAGCCTCTGCTCTCCTAGGCATTTAGCGGCCACTGGAAGCCCCCTGTTTACTGCTTGGGACAGAGTTCGTGGAGGTATAAGTTCAGGCAAGATGCTTGCTGCCCTCTGGTACCATCTGGTCCATCCAGGGAGGCAGAATAATGTTGGAGGCTGCCAGAAACTTCGGCTAGCAGCTTCGTGAACCATGACATGGGAACAGTGATGTGGGTCAGGAAAACTTCTCCCCATGGACACCTAGCCATGTCTGCCTAACTTGCAAAATCCTTTCCACCAGTAGGTGGAACTGACTGAAAAGCACATACTTTTGGCTTCTTTCCCAGCTCTTTTAATTAATGGCTTCTTACCTGTAAGCTTAGATTACCTGCTGTGCATAAGGCTTTCCTGAGGTCCAGCAGGCATCTGCCTGTGCCCTGGAACTGTCAGGTCTGTATGGCTCGCCCGGGTTCCAAGCAGACGCTATAGCATCTTTTGAAAATCACTAAATCTTTTTTGTTTATTATAAACAAAATACACATTCTTTGGGGGGGGAACAGAAGTGTAAACAAGAACCTGATCACCCAGGAGTACCCGTCACTATTTGCATTTTCAGGAGGCTTATTTCTGGTTTATTTATACACATATACACATACAGTTTTACGCAGTTGATTTCCTAGGCTTTGGTAGTCCCCTCCCTCCCACACGTACCAGTGGAGCATAAGCACTTTCCACAGTTTCTCTTGTGTCCGTGCTGCATTTATGGGCATACCATCAGGTACCTGATGCCCCCATGTACGCCACATCCAGCTTCCTTGATTAATGCCTGTGTGGTGATACTGAATTCTGTATTCTTTCCTTAGTGTGGATTCTAACATAAAATTATTAGATCAAAGAATATAAAGATGTATAAAGCTTCTAAAAGCTAGATACAGATACCTATTATTGGATAGGTAACACAAAATTGCTTTCCAGAAAGTATGCCCTCATTTTTCCTCTAGTTCATGCATTCATTTTCAGTGAGGTGGGAATTGGTTCTTAGAGTGGGGGGAGGGGAGGAAAGTCGTAGAGGTAATGGTTTGTGCTCCTCCAATGGGCTTCTGTATATACACAGATACCTGTGATATTATATTAATATTCTTTTACATGTATCTTAAATGTTATATATTATATGTGTATATGTATGTTGTTAGGTGCCTTCGACTCATAGTAGCCCTGTGTACAACAGAACAACCGTTGCTTGGTCTAGCGCCATCCCCCTCATACATATATAATGAAATATCTGTAGTATCAAAATTTCACAGGGTGACATAAAGAGGAAAGATTGAAAAGTGCGGTTGTAGCAGTTTGTCAGTGCCCATCTCACATCCTTGGTAGCTCTTTCAGGCTTAGTTTTGGGGTTTTGATTTTGGGTTTAGAATAATATCTGTCTGATAAAAACTTCTTGATTCTTTATACAAAGTGTAGAAACATGAGAAAGGTGTGACTAAAATAAAATTTATCTGGAGATTACCATTGGTGATATTTTAATCTTTTTGCAGAATTGGGATCCCTCTTTGTCCATTATAATATTACTGTTGTTAATCTGCCAAGGACCATTTGGAAATATCCCTTGTGTGATGGTCTCATGCAGGGGTTTCCCCATCCTCCATCCCAGGGAGTGCACAACCTCCCCACAGGCGTCAGACACGGAACCCTGGGAGCCCAGGTGCCTGGCTGCTCTGGGACTTCTCTAATTGTCCCTTGTTTGTTTCAGGCGTGATCCCCTGGGCCCATTTTCTGTCGGGGGAGAAGACCTGGACCCCTTTGGGTGAGTACTGCTGGGCAGGTGACAGCAACAGAGCCTGCTCTCACGGCTTGTCAGCCCAGCTCATCTTCTAATTTTAGAGCCCTTCGTCAGTCTTGCTTTGAGGTGGAGGAGGCAGGAGCTGAGCGGCTGAGAAATCAGTGCCCCTTGTTCTCTGCCACCCCTAGAGCTGGACAGGCGTGCTCTGAGTGTTGGGTGGGGCTGAGTCGGCCCAGTACGCTGCTCCTCTGTCGCTCCCTGGCCTGGTGTGCCCTGGTGGAGGACAGCAGGTACCCTGGGATGGCAGGCCACACAAGGATTCATCAGGTGCAGGGTGGAGAGCACACAAAGGCTGCAGACCTTTGTATAGTTGGCAGCTATTCAGAGGTCTCCTCACTTGGAAAGGGGCGTCTTTGAGCCCCATTAAGCTCTCTGTGGTTCTTGCTGTCACCCTTCAAAGTTATCACAGCCTCCTCTATGCATTGTCTTCTCTGAGTGACTCAGAGTACTTTAACCTCAGCTGCAAAGTGACCTCAGCTTTAGTTGATGTCAGCACACCTTGAACAGTGGTGCAACATTTGGAGAACATTTGGATGCTCATTCATCCTAGTGTGGGTACGTTGGGTCAGGTCCATGAGACTCCTTGGGGAGAATTCCCTCAGGAGCCAGACTCGAGCGACTCATAGGCCCCTTAAGGAAATGGGGGGGGGGACAGTATCATGAGCTATCTCAATGCTATTTTTAGTCCTTAGACCCTGTGGAGCCTTGTGATGGTTCTGCATCATGAGTTCTGGTTCCTGTTCCTGGTCGTGTTGGCCTTATCGGGTCCAGGATATGGCAGGGAACTCTGTGGACTTGGGGAGCCCAGCAGAGCCGAAAGTACAGGCCTCTTCATGCCCGAAAGATGTGCTCTTTGTGTTCTTGTCCTGCTCGCTTCCTGCTGGCACTCAGGCAGCCGCCCTTGCCGCTTTGCCTGGACCATTCAGGGGCAGTTCCTTGTCACACCTTCTTATCCGTCCTTCCTTCCTGCCTCAGGTGTCGGAGAGGTGGCATGATCGTGGATCCCCTGAGATCTGGCTTCCCCAGAGCACATATTGACCCGTCCTCGGGCCTCCCGAACCGGCTTCCTCCAGGCGCTGTGCCCCCAGGAGCACGCTTTGACCCCTTTGGACCCATTGGAACCAGCCCATCTGGGTAGGTATTCACTTAGGCACGCTGAGACAGAGAATCTGACAGCAGCCTTAGCTCAGCATGGCAGGCGTGAAGGTGTCTGACTCTTAGACAGAGACTTGGCACCTCTTTTGGCCCACTACCTCCACCCCTCTGCCAAGGAAGAGGAGCCTTCTCTGAGCCTCTGCCTGATAACCTCCCACTGGAGCCCTCCAGGAGCTCCGCATTCCTGAGGACTTCTTTCCCCCAGCTCCCCTCGGGGAGGACTCAGAAGAGGGGCCAGCACTGATTGAAAATTCAGTGTGTGTCAGGAACTCACTGGAGCCTTACGCCAATAGCTGTTACTGCCCACATTTTACAGATGCAGGAGTCGAGGCCCTTAGATATGAAGTAACTCATCTGAGTTCATAGAGCTAACAAGTGGAGGAGTTAGGATTCATGCCAGGCTGCTTGCTCTAGAGCACATGCTCTTAAACCCCAAGAACCACCACGTCGTTGTGGAGAGCAGACTCCCTCAGTTCAAGGCCATGTCAGCCTGTGTGCTCCTCAGCCCCCACCATCACTCAACTCACCAGCCCCTCTTTCCGTTCCAGACCTAACCCAGATCATCTCCCCCCACCGGGCTACGATGACATGTACCTGTGAAGGCCTCAAGAATGTAACATCCCAGCCTTCCCTCCACTCTCCTGGAGCTGCCACCATTGGCCCCACCAGCAACTGTGCTCTTGCGGGCTGGGGGCAAGGGACTCTGTCCATGTTTTTGCAGGCCGGCTGGGATTGCCTCCCCACCCCCTACCAGAGCCAAGGCACCTGCTGCAGCTCCCCACCTGGCTGCAGATAGGTCCCAAGGAGAAGTCTCACCACCGGCTCCTCCCCACCTCCCGTAGGAGACTCCGGCAACATATACCCTCGACCCGATGCAGCGCTATAAGAACAGAACGCATTTTGGATGTTATTATTAAGAACCAAATGTCAATACAAAAATCATGTTGCCGGTCTCCCACTTTTCTTTTCCACTTGTAATCACAGCTCCTGCCAGTTCTGAGTCTTTAGAGTTTGAGGCTTTGGGGGGGTTCAGTAACTTTTCCTACCCAGGGCCCATTTTTGCTTCTCAGGTGCCTTCCTGTCATAAATTACTGCTGTTCTTGGCAGGACTGAGGTGGGTCCCAGTTTGCATAGATGGAATTGAGTGACTGGAAACCCAGTGGGCCACAAGGGTGACTTTCACAATGATGGGCATGTTGGGGAGAGCGCCTTTCTGATGAGGGTGAAATCTTCCAATTTTGCCCACTCTGGGTCTAGGCCTGGGCAGTAGTAACCCAATAACAGGAACAGAGAGACCCAAAGGCTAATCTCATTTTTGCCACCAACTTACCAAGTGACCCTAAGTAAGACCCTTTCTCTCCTAGGGCCTGTGTGCCCATCTATAAAACTTGAGGTGCATTTTCTGCTCTAAAACATTCTGATGTCTGTTTGTGTAGATGGCAACCCATAGGAACTAGCAGAGGAAAAGCATGAAAGTTGAGGGCTTGGTGTGGCATGTAACATACAGAGCCTATAACTCTGTGCTTCTCATTCCCCTCGAGGCACACACGAGTATGGACTCATGGTCTCCATCTGAGAATGGTGTTGAACTTCAGGAGAAGCAAGGAACCCCAGTCTTTAGAAGCCAGTGGTAGTGAAAAAAGGACACAAACAGGAAAGCATTTGACCCTCTGGGAGCCCCTGACTCTGGAAACCTGTGTCCTATCCAGGCCTGCCTGACCTTTGGTGTCCTTTGGATCCTTTGCAGCCCGAGGCCGGACAGACGTGGTCAGTGATGAACCCATGTGCTGGAGTGGAAAGAGCACCATAGAGCCCCAGGCTCAGAGGCAAGAGACCAAGGCGCTAGTCACTTACACTTGGCAACTAGCACTTCAGCCATGGGGCGGGGGGTGGTCCTTTCATGTCTCAGCACCTTGGGTTCCTTCCCCAAATCAGGACATACTAGTTACCTATAGACAGGGAGCCATCCCGCTTTCTAGAGATGCCTGCTTGTGTTCTGTAGTCTAGGGCTGTCTGTCTGCTCAGCCTGCAGATGAATTAGGGGTCAGCTAAATTGACATCTAGACCCAGAGTCAATCTCAAATGGACGTCTGGCCTAGGTGGAGAGGCTGGCATGAGCTGACTCCGCGGATACTTCTGGCAGAGCCATCTCAAGCACTGATGTGGTAAAAGAGCCCAGAGATAGGAGCGCTGACCAACTCGCAGCCTTTTAGAACATCTCTGCCTTAGAGAAGGATACAAGGGGAAACACAGCTACAAACACAAATCCTCACTCATAGCCTTCCTCAGGCTGGACATGGGTGGAATGTTAGCTTTGGTTTTGGAATTGGCCCATATCTGCAATCAGAAGGACTTGGGACAAGTGGCCCACAAAAACATCCTTTATTATTAAAGGAAGCATTTAAAGGACCATCAGACAGACGCAGGAATGATAGATAACTTTAAGGACAATGATTTTAATAAAAGAACAAAAATTAATAAATTTGACACTTTGATTTTCTAGTAGCAAAGTTTGAAAAGAAAACCCATTGGGTGGTCATATATATAATTCTGTTTTCTGAACAGACAATGTAGTGATTCATCTGCCGAATCAGCCTTTTTCCTGGAACTAAATCCAGGAAGCATCTTCTGTGTGGGTCTCCTTGCATCACAGACATAGAGGAACAACATCTAGATGCTGTGTAGGGAGAAGTGAACAAGGCCTTAAGAACTTCCTAGCCCAGCCATTAGTGCTTGTTTTGGTCTGGGCCGTGTTCCTCCTCCCAGCTGTGAAGTCACCACGCAGGACTGGGAATACTTCAGGTGTGTGTTTTGTGGAATCCAAAAGGTTGGAGGCTTAACAATAAACATCAGCAAGTAGTAACCTGTTCCTCTTTATTTTTTTTCTCAATAACAGCTTTATTGAGCTATAGTTCACATACTATAAAGGTCACCCTTCTAAAATAATTCAGTGGTTTTTAGTACAGTCACAGTGCAGTGCATCCATCACCATATCTAATTCCTGAACGTTTTCATCACCCCGAAAAGAAACCCGTAACCGTTAGCAGCATCCCATTTTCCCCTTCCCCCAGCCCCTGGCAACCACTAACCTACTTTTTGTCCCTAAGGAGCTGCCTGTTCTGAACACTGCTCATAAATGGAATCTCACAATCTGTGGCCTTTTGTGTCTGGCTTCTTTCACTTTGCGTGTTTTCAAGAGCCATACATGTGGTAGCATGTGTCAGTACTTCACTCCTTTGTATGGCTGAGTAATACTGCTACACCACCTTTTGTTTATCCATTCATCAGCTGGTTGACATTTAGATCATTTCCATTTTTGGCTTACGAATATTGCTGCTACAAACATCGTGTACAAGTTTCTGTGTGGCTCTACGTTTGCATTTCTCTGGGAGTAGAATTGCTAGGTGAGATGGTAACTCAGCGTGTATCTCGTTGCAGAACCGCCAGTCTCTCTGCAGGGTGGCTGCGCCATGTACATTTCCACCATCAGTCTCTCCATCTTCACCAACACTTAATATTTGTCTCCTTGCTTATTGCATCCTAGTGGGTGTGAAGTGGTATCTCATTGTGGTTGGTTATCTTTTTTAAAACAATGTTTTTTTTAAAAAAAACCTAAGCCAAGCAAGGCAGAGACCAGAGCCAGTCACCCCAGGGGACCAGGTGATGACTTTGATGATCCAACCTTGGGCTGACCACGGCTGATGAGCTGCAGAGGAGTTGGGTTTGACTTTTGGAAAAGGTTCCGGGCTGGATGTGATACAGAATAGGGCCTATTTCTGGGAAAGTTCCCAGGACCTTTCTAGGTCTAGTGAGATCCACAGGCATTACTATTGCCTGGTTTTGGAATTTCTTTGTTCATCCAGTGACTTTCCAAGTAAAATAAAGGTCTGGTTCTAAATCATTGTCTTGATAATGAAGTGCCATAGACGACTTGTATCATTTCCAGGATGCACCAGAGAAGTCCCCACAGGCCAGCCTTCACTTTCTTGACTTGTCTCCTTGCCAGTTTCCAGAGTGAGCATTTACCCTCTCAGGGACTTCTGTCAGTCTCCATGGTGAAGTCGTGAGTCTCATAAGACACCATCTCCACGAATGGATTGTGCTCAAGTTGCAGTTGTTAGGGGTGTCGAGCCAGTTCCTATTCCTAGCGGCCCTGTGTACAACAGAATGAAACACTGCCTGGTCTTCCGCCATCCTCAGGATCAGTGCCATGTTTAAGGCCACATTGCGGCCACTGTGTCAACCTGTCTTGTAGAGGAGCTTCCTCTTTTTTCACTGACCCTCAGCTTTACCCAGCATGGTATCCTACTGTGACTGACTGGTCTCTCCTGATAACGTGTCCAAAGTACACGAGACAAAGCCTCACCAGCCTCGCTTCTAAAAGAGCATTCTCACTGTACTACTTCCGGGACAGATTTGTTCGTCCTTCTGCAGTCCGTGGTACATTTAACATGCTTCACCAGCATAATTCAAAGGCATCAGTTCTTCAGTCTTCCTAATTCGTTATCCAGCTTTCACATGCATATGAAAATGTAGATTGTCTCTGTGTTCCTGGTGGTTGGTAAGTATGTCTTGACTCTCAAGTAGTTAGAAAAGCCCCCACAGAACCTCACTGTTTGGGACCCAGCTCCCCTCATGGCCTCTCTCCTGTCAATGACATTCTGTTCCTGATCCATGCCCCTCTTCACAGGAGGAAGATTAGAATCACTGAACGAGGTCATATCCTGTCATCTTTTAATCTTATCTGTTCTGGTGCAGTTCTCATTAGAAACCAAGGAGAACAAAGATTCCCCACACATACAGCTCCAGATGTCTCTCATAAAGCTCGCATGCTCGCGGCCACTCAGCATCTTGCACCAAAAGAGAGATTCAAAGGCAGGCTTCCAAGCCCCTAGCCCTTGTTTGTCCTTGGGATACTGTAAGACATACCCCCATCACTTCAACTGTGCTTGGCCCTGGAGGGTGGGTCACAAAAGCAGAAGTGTCAGGCACTGAGGGGTGGTGGCAACGACAAGTCAGAATGCAAAGAGCAGCAATAACAAGTTTGAACGTCTCACTAGTGACAGGACTTGGAGGGGGTGCAAAGTGAAAGGCCTAGGCCCTGTTGGAAGAAACAGTGGGCGGACAGTGCAGTCTGTCAGGAGGCTAGATGTGTCTGCAAAAGGCGGGGTCCAGATGAGCCGTATAAGGTGAGCGTGGTGAGAATCACAGTGTGATGGGGCTCAAGGAGGAGCGAGTGGGCCCTGCTGAAGTGCTAGTCCTACTGGAGTTCAGCTGCAGTAAACACAAACCACTTTGTTATGTGCCATCAAGTCAGACCCAACTCACAGCAACCCCTCTTGGGTTTCCGAGGTGGTATCACTACAGAAGTAGATTGCCCAACCTTCCCTCTGAGGAGTAGCTGGTGAGTTTGAACTGCCAGCCTTCTGGCTAAGAGTCAAATGCCTGAGGCTCCTAGAAACTACCAGAGCTCCTAGAAACCACCTTAGCTATTTTAAACAAAAGGTACAGAGATCAGTAGGATCTCCATCACTATTGCCATGATCTGGAGATGAGGAAATTCCAGAGCCTCACACAACTGCCTAATTCTGCACCAGAAAATGGATACCCTTATATTGCCATCTGGACCCCCACTCAGTTCCAAATTCAAGGTGCAGTTGAATGCATCTCATTATTGGGATGTGTATCACTTCTAGAACCACAGCTGCAAAGGAGCCTGGGAAAGTTTTTTGCTCCCTTTCCCCATCTTTCCATTCAGGAAGGCACCTTAGGAAGCTGGGGCAGAGGTGAAGTGAGCCAATCTCCTGGGCCTCCACCAGGTACCGTCTTAC